CTTAGGGTTGAAAGAAAATTGTTTTAAGAAAAATTGATTAAGAGATGGGGATGTTTTAAAAAGGAAAATAATTTGATAGGGTTGCAGCTCTATCAAACTAAGTAAAGTCTCAACTCATAACTCATCGATATTTACAATTCAAGCATTGGAAAACTTTTACATGGATTATCTCGGCTTGAACATTATGGTTGTAAAAAGAAATTAGGATTTTAAGCTCTAAAAAACAATATATATTATAATAAATTATTTAGACCATACATTTCATCCTAAAAATATATGTCCATAGATCCACAAGTTCTGTATCATTTTTTTTGTTGCAAATTTTATTCTCGGTATTGGAAATTGATTTTAGATCCATCATGGAGATTTCCGTTACCAAAAGTGACTTTCCGAGTAAGGATTTGAGGTGAAGCTTTATTTTGTTTTCATAAAATCCTAGGCCTTATAGAAACTTCATCTTTTTTAAAATATAAAAACATAGATTATGGCAGAAAATACAATCCCGATGCATTCAAGAAGCCTCTGATGTGAATGCACAATTTTAGCAATAATACTATTTATTGTGTAAATCCATTTCAGAGTGAGAGGCATCTTAGCACGATTCGCCATTATCACTATTCGGGTCAGAGTCTGAGTCCAGCCAGACCCGACCCGTACCCATAGTCATAGGATATATGATTGCAATCATGTGTTCTTATGCACGCGTTAGATGTTCATATTGTCACAATATTGACAATATTGTTACAATATTGTCATAATATTGACATACATTAATATTGTCACAGGGACCCAACAGGTCTGGGTATGGGTCTAAATTTTGGCCCGAATTACTAAACCCGGACTCGACCTGGTGTCACCCCTAACTGTGAAAGTAATGCACACTTTAAAAACTCCATGGAAAATTGGTAAAAAGCTTGAAATATATAGATACGAAGGTCTTCAAGGTCTAAAAATAGTGGACCTTGTAACATATTATCTAAAACAGTCTATTTTTAAGATGTTCAAGTATTTATGGATCGCCTCTATCTTCACGAATAACTTTAAATTTCATACGTAGATGTCGAAATAGATTTTTTGGGCCATCAAAGGGAGTCCAAAATTACGTATTCTGAACTGATTTAGCGATGTGCCTTACTTCAACTATTTAAAGGTGAGATATATACAAACAGCACCCTCCTCTTCTGTTTACATAAACAAAAATGTAATAGATCTTTTATTAAAGGGTGTGGTTTGTATAAGGTTGAAATTATAAACAATCAAAGTAAGGCACACCTTCATGTTGTTTCAGTATACTAAATATTAGTAATGACTTTAAAATTTATTTTTATCTGTAATTATAATATTTAAATATTCAAAAATAGAGTTGACCTAACAAATCTATGAACATTTGAAAATATTGAAAATTGACGGTCTAGTAATAGGTTACAAGATGCACTATTTCTAAAACTTGAAATCTATTTTATCTCTTGTCCAAACACCTTCAGCTTGAGATGATAGAATTGAGGGTTACTCAGCATCAAAGCAACCTCTTCGCGTGAAATTTCACGGTGCACCTTAATTTGATTATTTAGAACCTTACCCTTATATAAAATTCTCCCTGTACAATAAGGTTGGAGCGACATATGGTTCTAAGGTTGCAAAGACCTTATTTGAAAATACAAAAGAATATAGTCCTCCAAGATTGCCCACGAATGTAAGCAAGGGAATCACGCAGTGGATTTGGCCACCTCCTTGAAAAATTAAGCTTTTATTTATAATCAAATTAAAGAATTATGCTGTTGTAATAAGATATATTTTAGGGAATACTACGTATACGCCACCATTTTTAAGAATTATACTCATGGACTGTCATTGTATACAAATTACCCTCAGTTTTTAGGTTCTCTTGGTCCAAAAAATGAAACTAAATCTCATTTAAATTAATAAAATACTTTTTATAAATAGGAAAGGCATGGAAGCTAAAAGAAACTTTTAACATTTTTCTTTTATGAGGGGCAAATAGCTCCATTTGGCTCACTACAAAAAGTTGGAGAGCTAAACTCAAAAATAAAATATTTTAAGGTCTATTTTCTTAAAAGAAAGTTCTCGTGAGCCTATTAAGAAAAAGGTTGTTGCACCTGCCTGTAGATGTAGCCCTTGGAACTACCATCTCATGCACCTTGAAATTGCCTTTTTATGAACTAGTATTTTAAAACTGCAATCGGTGGGGTAAATGGTCCACCACATAAATCTGTGATAGATGACTGGATCGGCAATCTAGAAAAATATTAAAAAAAAAAATAGGGCGGAGTTAAAGAAATATTAGATAAGCATAAAAAAAAGGAAAAAATAAATGTGAAATGAGGAATTTTATGCGGGGAATAGGCTATAACCGATACCTTTACAAAACCAGTTCAGTCCCTGCTGATTCCCAGTCTGGATCAGCGATTCACAAGCTGGATTGCAGCACGTTAAAACATTTTTCCTGCTCATTTTCTGACATAATAATCAATAATCCATAAACGTGAGTCACTTAGACTACGCTTAAGTTTTAAGGTAGGTTCTGTAGTTTGGAAACTAACCTAACCTAAGAAGAGTACTGATGTTGTAACTTTTTTTCAACATCTAGTATCTTTTTGCATTCCTTCTCCATGCCCATGATACATACAAAACTACTTGTTTGGCTCCAAATGAAAACGAATATGCATTTTTGCAGATTTGGATACTCATTTGCAAGGTTTTGGATGGTCGGATCAAGTTTTTGAGATCTAGCTTATTATTTTTTTATTTTTGTAAAAAAAATTTAAATCAAGAAAATGCTTCCTCCCAAATGGCGTGGTCGTACAATAATAGTTCATGCTCCTCTTCATTTAAAAGAGAAAAATATGGTTATAATTTACCTTAAGCAAGACTGTGCCTTGAAAACTAAATTGAAAGTCAAATTTTGCAATTGAAAAGTTTTTTTTTTTTGGATATATTAATGGTGGGAATTGAAGGGGGAACAGTTGAAAGAAGTTCTTGAGAGACTCTTTGATACACCAAGATCACCTAAAAATGTGGCTTTACGTCCATTCGTGATCTGTTATTCCATCTAGTGGCCTTCATATTCTCTAAACGCAGTTGTGTTAGGTTCAGATTTTGTTCTATTCTTTCAAAGGTATAACCCGGTAGGCATCTTTGGACCGCATTAAATAAGACTCTACAGCCTTACTTTAGAAAAAATAAGTTAAAATAAAAAATAGCAAGTAGTCTGAAGATCCTCAGTCCGATGAGCAATTGGGAAATGAATAAAAAACGACTTTTGGATCGAACCTTTACATATCTTACAACCATACAATAGAGTAATTGTGCCACATGGTAACATTGTTGCCCATTGGATTATTGTGTGTGAACAGGAGAAGAAGTAGAATGACTCTAATGTTTACGGCAAACTGCACGAAAAAGTCGGGAGACTATTGCGTCCATGGCCCTCACACAAGCATGTCCTCTCTTGTTGCCAAAACAAAGAAAGGCTAGTGCTCCCCATATGCCATTAGCATAACCCAAGGCAATGAAAGCATAGAACGCAGGTGTCATGTCCACCAACCCTTCCTCTCCTTCATCTTCATCTTCATCTTCACCATCATTATCGCTCGATGCAGTTGGCACATTTGATGACAGAGTTGTCGAACACCTCTTTCTTTGTGTATTCAGGTTTGGGTTTCCACTAAAAGAACTCTCATTGAAAGTACAGAATTGTGTTGTGTCTGGTATCTCACCGGATAGATTATTATTTGCGACAGAAAAGATGGACAAACGGGTAAGTCTTGTTAATTGAGAAGGAAATTCACCAGGGAGTGTATTGTAAGAAAGATCTAATGTTGAGAGACCCAATAACCCTCCAAAGGATTTGGGAATTGGACCTGTTAGAAGATTGTTGGAGAGATTCAACATGGCAAGTTCTTTTAAAAGCCCCATGTTTAATGGAATAGGGCCACTTAATTTGTTTTCCGACAAATCCAAACCGGTCATGTACTTAAGAGCATCCCCGAGATAGCTATATGTATTTCCCTTTGTAAATTCCACCTTCTCTTGTGAGATTGTGCAAAGCTTATAATCTATTCGGGCCCCGGAACCAAGTTTGATAGAAAAGGTCAAAAATGGATTATAACGAGATGAAATGGAACCAATAAAGGATGCATTTGTCCATGCAGAAAAATTATTGAAGCAAGGAGGTATGGGACCTTCAAGGTTGTTTTGGGAAAAATCCAAGACGGCCAAACTTTTTACTTGACACAATTTAAGTGGAATATGATCGAAAAAATTGCCTCTCAAGATTAGCACTTCCAATTTGAAATGCCCAAATAATTCAATTGGAATGGGACCAGATATTTCATTATTTGCAAGATTTAAAATAGTTAGATATGGACTAAACAACATAAGGTTCCTCGGTATGGTTCCATTGAATGCATTGTTATCTAGATGGAGTGATACCAAATTTGGATTGCAAGGGTCCATTCAAGGAGTTCTTAGACAGGCTCAAAAGCATGAGGTCATGTCCTCTGGTCAAATTGGGGGGTATTTCTCCAGTGATTTTGTTGTTCGATATGTCCAAAATTGTGATGTTATAGGGGAAAATGGAAGGCAAATTTCCTGAGATGTTGTTGCTAGACAAATCCAACACTCTCAATCCCTTCAAGCCATTGATGTAAAACATTAAGATATCATTAAGGGAATTCTGGGACATTTTAAGTGATTGAAAATTTGGAAAATAACTAGAGAAATTTCTTGGAAAATTCCTACTGATTTGGTTGTTAGAGATATCCAAATTATTGAGGTCGTAAGATATGTTAGGCAAAAATTGTACTCCTGTGAGCAAATTCCCATCCAACAAAAGTTCTCCAGTGTTTTTGAGTAACCAAGAGGGGATATTCCCAATAATGTTGCTGTTTGAGAGATCAACAGTGAGTAACTGGTTTTGAGTCGATAGGAAGCCTGGAGAACATAAGTCGAACCTTCTCATGTCACACGATGACAACTTGAGACTATAAAGCTGGAAAGTAGGCGTAAAGTTGTTGTGGGAAATGGTTAGCTTAGAGTTTTCAAAGAGGTGGACATATTTGAGGCTAGAAACATTTGCAAAGACTGTGAAGGAGAAATCACCTGACAAGTCATTATCATTGAGAAGAAGACCACTCAAAGAGTAAAAGGAGGGTGAGGTTGGCAATAGACAACGGTATGCTCCCTTCAAGTTTATTTTCGCCGAGGTCAAGCCATTCCAATGAAAATAGGCTGCCAAGAGATTCTGGTATGCTACCGGAAAGTTGATTCCCATATAGTTTTAGACCATTGAGACGGGACAAGTTACCCAGAGTTGATGGTATGCTCCCTTCAAGTTTATTGTTGCCGAGGTCAAGCCATTCCAATGATAATAGGCTGCCAAGAGATTCTGGTATGCTACCGGAAAGTTGATTCCCATATAGTAGTAGATCATTGAGACGGGACAAGTTACCCAGAGTTGATGGTATGCTCCTTTCAAGTTTATTTTCCCCGAGGTTAAGCAGTTCTAATGATAATAGGCTGCCAAGAGATTCCGGTACGCTATCGGAAAGTTGATTCCCATATAGTTGTAGAACATTGAGACGGGACAAGTTACCCAGAGTTGATGGTATGCGTCCTTGGAGCCGATTCCCATCTAC